AGCGTTGCGAATATGACGGCGCGGACCCTCACTTGCTCCGCTAGTTCATGTTTTATGAACGATCCATTAAAGATAACACGGTTCCAATATAGCAGTTTTGTTAAGATGATGTCGGAGCAGAATGTAACGATACACTTTTTTGGTATTTGCACTACTTTGTTTTTTTCATCCCTCCAAATATTGCCCTAAAATTGACATTTTTCAGCACAAATATGTTTTTAACGACAAGCGCTAGGGCAATGAAATTACCTACACATATAGTGCTTATAATTGGTAATATGCAAAAAAAATTTAATATTGTGTAAAATTTTTTTGTTTAGATATTTTATATCAAACGTAGCACTTTTTTGTGCTTCGAGTCATAGTACTTCAAATGCCGCTGAGGAAATAATTAAGCTATGATAAAATCTTTTATAACATTTAGAGCTACAATGGTTGCCCAAGAGGTGGACGATGGCTTTTTTTCATTTTCAAAGTCATAACGCTCCAGGAGCCCTTCAAACTTACCTGTTTTTGATGCATATCTTTTTTGGACATCAAACAAATTTATTGGCATCCAATAGCAGTATTGTTAGGAATAGATATACATTGCGATGTATTAAATTTTCACAATGATCTTGCGTTGGTTTCTTAATAGGTGTAGAGCTTAGGTAATTTTAAGAACAATTAAAAACTGTTTGGGTGTTTTGTTGCGCTACCTGGCGGATGGCAGACAAACTGCTGATATCTAGTGTTCAGAAGATTTCCGAGGGCGGCGTTGGCGTCTGTATCATCATCAATCTCCGTGTCTTTTTACCTTCACATTTAAAAATATATTGGAAGATTTACTATCGATAAATGAATGGTTTAAGTACTAGGTCCGATTAATAAATCTAAGACAAATAATTACACACGTGTAGCGTGATATAATGTGTTCATTATTCGATATGATTGAAATCAATATTCGATAAAGACGAAGAGGAAAATAATAGACCCGAGTTCACTTCATGTCTAGAGTCACTAAATGAGCTTTAAAGTATCGGCATTCCGTTCCCCAAAATTGTTTTGGGCGCCGCCATTTTGGGTCTTGTTCAGAGCAAACACAACTGCCGATCGTCATGATCCAAAAGTACGACTTCCTCAGCATTAGATGCGGTGCTAAGAAGCTTATGCAATATTACAATGCTCTGTCGCGGGTTGTTTAAACATTTGTGGGGTACGGAAAAGCGTTTCCTGTGATTTTAGGTATAGCTTCAGGTAACTGGCAACCATGATTTTAAGCCACAATATGGCCAAGCGTCGTTACTCTGAACCGTAGCTACTTTATACCCCTGTTACACGAGCACCCTTAACCGTGGTTAACTCAGCTTTAACTGCTGTTACGTGGCACCACAGTTACCGCACTATACTCTCGGACAGCTATTTCAGAAGAAGTGGAGAGCGCTCGTGCACTGCTTTGATGTGTGCTCGAGATGCTCTAGCGCACGTTCGCCCATAGCTTTGACTGCATAGTCGGAGAATGTTGTCGGCCAGTATTGTGCGCTAATACCCTTGTTATACCCTTATTACACGGGCCCAATTAACTGCAGTTACGCTAAGCCACAGATAGCGCACAATACTTGCGGACAACATTCTGCGGCTATGCAGTCAAAGCTATGGGCGAACGTGCCCTCGAGCATCTTGAGCATCTATCGAAGCAGTGCGCTCGCGCTCTTCACTTCTTCTGATATAGCTGTCAGAGAGTATAGTGCGGTATCTGTGGTGCTGCGAAACAGCAGTTAAGTTGAGTTAACCGCGGTTAAGTGTGCCCGTGTAACAGGGGTATAACACGGGCACACTTAACTGCAGTTACGCTAAGCCACAGTTAGCGCACAATATTTGCGGACAACATTCTGCGGCTATGCAGTCAAAGCTATGGGCGAACGTGCGCTTGAGCATCTTGAGCATCTGTCGAAGCAGTGCGCGCGCGCTCTTCACTTCTTCAGAAATAGCTGTCAGAGACTATAGTGCGGTATCTGTGGTGCCGCGCAACAGCAGTTAAGCTGAGTTAACCGTGGTTAAGTGTGCCCGTGTAACAGGGGTATAACTGTGGCTTAGCGTAACTGCAGTTAAATGCACCCGTGTAACAAGGGTATTACTGGCACAAGTGGGAACAATGAGGAAGAGGCCGGTGTCAAAAGGTAGTGGCTTGTGGAATCCACGGGGCTTACGTCATGGCCCCTCCAGGTATTACAAGCCTCTTGAACAAGAGCATGAATAGTGTCATTAAATAAGCTACGCGTAAGAGTAGCGACACTTGGCCATATTGTGGCTTAAAATCATGTTTGCCAGTTATTTGAAGCTTTATCTGAAATCACAAGAAACGCTTTTCCGTCCTCAAATTTAAACAGTGTGCGACAAAGCAAAGCAAGATTACATGAGCTTCCTAATGCTGAGGATGTCTCACTTTTAAATCATGACGATCGGCAGTTGCGCCTGCTCTGCACAATCACCAGAATGGCGGCGTTCACAACACTGAGGGCGAAGAGAGTGCCGATACTTCAAGCGCAGCTCATTTATTTGCTCTAGTTCCCGCAAAACTCCTTCTCCCTGACTGAAACTGAAAGTAAATATGAATAATACACTATTATTATAGCTTATTTAGTTATAACCAACTACACATAATGAGAGGAGGAAGCGGCCAGGTAGGAGAAACGCGGGTTTTATGTGCGACCGTTCTAACCGTCTCAAAAGAGAGAACGCGCAAGCTTGCGCTGGTTTAAAAAGAGGTATCCAAAAGAAAGAGGCGGCACGCTGTGCTCTTTGTTATTATGCGTCTAATTGCAAATTGTTGTGTGTATGTTTATACAGCCGGAAGTTAGTCCGCCTTAGTGGGCGTCTGACTCTCAGCTGTAGATGAGCAATTTAGCCAGTGCGGTACAACCGTAAACCTGGGGTCTTTAACGTGCACCACGCAGTAGTGATACACACGACCGCACGCCGGTACGCTGCTCTTCCAGATCGAAACGGGCAGGGGCGGGGTGGCTTCTGCAGCGCGAGCTTTCGCTCCAAGTGCTCGGAGCTGGTGTGCGCTAGACCATGCACCATGCAGTTATATTTACACTCAAGGGCATTGATATCCAACGTATTCAGAGAGATGACACCTTCTGGTCAACCAACATAGAGCCTTTTCTACGCAAGTTTTACATGGAAGGCCCGACTTCCGCTGAAATTCCTTACGTAGACGAGTTGTCCGACCGAATAAACTGCAATTACTCCCGATCTGGGAATCTCTCGATCTTCGTTCGTAAGCCATGGTATCATGAGATCGAGGGGTGTGGCTCTTCGTCCGCTGAATATTGCTTCGGCGGGTGTTTTTACCGTGTAAGATGAGACCGTGGCGTGCTGCTGGAACAACAACCTGGCGATACTTCACTGAACTGCTTCTTTCGTAAGCTTCAAAAGGGCTTTTTGTTTTGTTTCGCACACCATCTGTTCTGCATGGCCGTTAGTTGAAGGATGGTATGGTGCACTAATGTGATGCCTGATGCCGTTTTTTTTCTTCAAAAATTTGTTTATTTTGTTTGAAGCAATATTTTGCGTGTTATCAGAGAAAAGTATTTTCGGTAGTGCAAAAGTAGGTACAAGAGACCGTAGAACGTCAATGACGTGTTTGGACGTCGTGGCAGGCATCGTGTAAACTTCCAGCCACTTAGAGTACGCATCGTCCATGACTCCGCAGATGCGGATACGTTTCGCCGCCCACCGATTGAATAGTTAATCGTTTTCAGTTACTGTTCATGATGGCGTTGGACTCAAGGAAGACTTCGAGTCTTTCCAGAAAGTTAGCCCAGGTGCCAGGACTTTTGTCGAAAGCGGTAAGTGTTCGAAACGTCGACAACGTCGGTAGCCACGTGTTGTGCTTGACAGTGGACACTTACCATTCGCTGACAAAAAAACTTGCTTGTTCGACTGCCACGAGTCGTCCGATATCAGGTCATCACCGCGACACCATCTCCCGACAAAAACGCATGTCCATAGTTAGCAATCACGTGAACTTATAAATTCCCGAACGCTCATAACTTGCCGTCGCTAAACGCCGTTCATTCATAGCGTCATCATTGCAAATAAACGTCTTCCTATTTCTTGTGATGGTTTTTATCATATTGCTCCTAAGCTGTACTTACAACATTATGTGTGTCGGTACTTCCGAAAATATTGAAACGGCGTTTGTTTTCTGGGAACTATAATGTAACAACCTTTACGACATCTTCCGGACCCCGTGAAACACAATAATTCGTGACGTTATTTTAGTCGTCGTTAAAATGGTGAGGTAAGTACCGTAAATCGCGACTTCCCGTCCGCTTCCACTGGTGTCTTGGAAGTGTGAGTCTACTGAGCGTGCATTCCTGCAGAGGAAATTTTCATTGATAGAATATTGACTCGTCAATCAACATTTGATTCCTTCTTGGTAAGATTTGTTGCGAAAGCCCGTTACAACCACCCAACCGCATCTCCGCATACATCCGTTTGCTGGGCCACGCTACTTGAGCTAGCTGAGCACAGCTGGCAGCGGCGCGAGCAAGGCCACGAGGGGAACGTGATGTTGCTCGAGCCATCCCACTGTGAACCAATGTTTCGGCCACCCCACGGGTGCGTGTCGCCATCTATTGGTTGAACTAACGCCTTGTTCAAGATGGCTGCCGTGGGACCGCAGCCTTAAACACTCTTACACCGTGCTCGCACACAGACAGTTCACGGAAGCTTAAACAGGCAGGAGCTGGAACGCTGCGATGACAGCGACCCTTGTGGCCGCTCGCCTTTCTTGCCAGGATATAGACGATGAACCGCCAGGATCGCGACTTCCGAAAGCATGGCTCGCTGGCATCTGTCACGTCGTTTGTTGCAACTTCGGGGCGACTTTAGATGCATAGGGCGGGACAGGATTCTAGAAGGCCCAGTCGAAGAAGCCTTCCAAGGCACCGGTTGTAGAACGTGTGTGTATAGTTTCCGATTCGCCATAGTGTACATCTTCGACGCAGGTTTAACTTCGAGAACTTCTACAACAGCAACCGGGCTCCGTTTCCTGTCTTCCTTCACGAGGCGTGGCTCCGGGAAGAAGAACGGAAGAAAGGCTACCTTCGCTTCGTGGACTGGCTCCTGCAAAAGGAAGACGTGTACCTGGTCACCGTGTCCGAAGTGCTCGACTTTATGAGGTACCCTGAGCCCAAAAGCAGCTACGTTCAGCGCCGCTGCACCAAAGACAACCTGCCCGAGTCCACGTGTCCGAAGTTGAAAACCTGCCCTTACAAAACGACGCCTCCCGGAAATGAACGGTACATGCGGATCTGCGGAAACACCTGTCCCAAAAACTACCCATGGGTCAACAATCCGCACGGCAATTATTAACATTATAAAGGCGCAATTGCTTTAGTTAGAGTATTTTTATGATCACTGGGCGTTGTTTAACTTCCCAGTATTCCGGGGACAGCTATGTACCACAGCAAGTGCGTAAAGACAAGCGGCGAATTTAAGCAAGAATAATTGAAAAGAACGTAGGGCTTGTTCGAGGAGCGCGAACATCGAGATGCTGCAATTATTGAATATCTCTGGTATATATATATATATATATATATATATATATATATATACACCACTAAAATGACTCCCATTTAAGAGCAGTAGAAACGCGTTTACAGTAAAAGCGGACTATAAAATATTTTTTTTTATTGTGCTGAGTTTATCGGAGAATAAGAGGTTTCTGACTTTCCTTCATTCTCAAAGTTTTCAATGTTTAAAACGCTAAAAAAAAAGACTGAACATCGGACCCATACGCGAGCAGAGAGAATAAAACGAATGTTCTTTATTGTGAATTGCACTCACTATTTGGCTTTCACTTTATTCTGATCGTCTACTTGCGCAGGTAGGTACTGATAGAGCGTTACTACGTAGTTTTGGACGCCTCATATTATTTTCTAGATACCCTTCATGGCTTTAACACATAACCCCCATGCAGAAAAATGCCAATGCCGTGTTCGCGCCAGCAGTGTCGGACAGTGACATTAAGACATGAATGAAACTATTTTTGCACTATGTTTAAAGCCATTAATTTGAAAGAAAAGCATAACTGTAACTGACCAATATTTTTATGCACACGACTGAGAAATTCCAAGCTACCTATTCCAAAAGTGTTCTTCGTAATGTTGGCTTTATTAATCAAGCGCAGATAATAAATGCACCCACCTTTTCCCTTAGGAATGGATTACCGCAAGTCAATTTCAGACTGGTTGCCGTCTGCTTTAATTCGAAACCGCACACTAGCACCAGCTGAACCTTTGGCGTACTTTATAACAACTTTATGTTCGTTGCACTCGTCGAAGGCGTTCGAACCCAGAACGCCGGGGTTTGGCGATTGACTCTTGCATTCGAACGCGTTCGACGAGTGTAGTGAAGACAGAGACAGCTAGATTTAGATGTATGCTGTCGAGACCGGTTATAGCGAAGTCAACGGGAATCGGAAATAACTTCGATATATCCTCTATTTCGTTATAACGGACTTTGGTTATAACGAAATGCAGAAAGGATGGGAAAGCCTGATCATCTTTGCTGTAGCCGCTATTTCGTTATAACCGACTTCGTTGTAACCGGTCTCGACAGTACCCACGAATGATTGGTATCAAAGCTAGAGCTCGGCATCCTGACGTCCACGCGCGCTCTCGTATTCTCTCCCTCACTTTTTCGGCGCATTGAGAGATAATGAAAAATGAAAAAGGGCGGGAATCTTTTTAAGAAAACTCATAATTAGCAAGAAATAAAAAAAATGCGGGGGGGGGGGGGGGGGGGAGGGGAGGCTCGGATAGGCAAAGGTCGAGAGCTACACCTGTCGTATTGCCGTATCTACGAAATATCAGCAATAAGATTAATGTTGAATTCTGTAGGTAGATCCCAAACGCTTTTAAAAATTCGCGAGGGAGGCGGAAATCCGATCCGTGCAACCCGCCCCATATTAACGAGCGGAAGATGGACTCGCATGGACTCCATGTATCATGGACTCCATGTATCATGGAGTCCATGGCACAAAAAACGAGGAAGACATCCGCGTTCGCCACCGCCACTTGCCTTTCGGCCGCTTTAAAGTGGCGGGGCACGCACAGCGATCGCCATCGGTGGAGCTCAGATTACTAGTAAGTCTTTAATCAACATAAAAAGGTAACAAACCATATCGCTTGCACGGTCATTGCCTAGTCTAGTCTTGCTTTATTGCATGAGAAAACGCCGGCGACATGCAGTGTAAAATGCCAAACAATCAGTGGCGGCAAAATGAACAGGCCTAAACTGGTGTCTGGTTCCTTCGAATTTCCTGTCGTTCTTCCTCGCGTGTTTCCTCTCACGATCACGGACTTCAGAGATTACGATTTGCGATGCCTCAGTCCCGGCTCTGCACCCATGATCTACACGAAGCAGGATTGTTCCAGCCGTCACAATCCCGCGTAAACAATCGATGCATCCGAACAGATCCAACTCGACGGCCCGGTCGATACGGCGACCTCGACCGCGCATGTGCACCGTCGAGATAAGGGAAATGGCGTGGCGTGCTTCTGTCGACTTCCGCCAAGCTCCGTGAAAATTCCACTGCTCAGTCCGGCGGGTTTGGAGGCGCTCCACGGGGCCGGGCGGTGCCACAAATATGCGAGCGGAGGATGACCAACTTGATACGGATCTGCCTGCGGAAGATGCACGCTCCAAATCTGGGCGCTCTCTAAACCTGCGAGCGAAATTCCCCAGAAGAGAGTGGCAGTCTGCCGGTGTTGTTAACGCTCCAAGGGAACTTAAAAGATCTTGTGTGGGAGGATTGACCGAGGGGAAAGCAAGACGTGAATGGAAGTTCAAACCATAAAAGAAGAAATCGTTTGTCAAGGGAAAAGTAGAGGTATTTTATATAAGATATTACTGTCGTTGGGAAATGGTGTATATTGGCCAGTTGGGTAGGTGCATGAGCGATTGATTAATGTCGCAGTCACAATTCTATTACGTCATAAAAAAAGATGCCCTGCAGTCACTGTTTAAGACATGTTTGTTCCTCATATGACAGTCCTGCCAAACTGCTCACACGCAAACTGTTTGCAGTCGTATGCGAAGCATATACAGGGTGTTTTTTTTTTTTGTTTCTTTGTTTGGAAACGTGGCCCAAATCGCTTTTGCGAAAACTACGCATCGCACAGTGAAAAGGTTGATGCCGTAGAGGTCTGTGCCAAAGGACCCAGGAAAGGAAATTATTAGCTGACAATATAAAAGTTAATTATTCAATTTTCTGTAATCAAATTTGTAATGATTAATCTTAAAGGTACAGCTCCCATTGGGAACTTGGTGCGAATCACCGAAATCTACTGAATTCACCCACATTACAATGAATATGAGGCACTCGCGCTATTTTATGGTGATTCGAAAGAAATCCTCACTTTAGACACGTTTCTACGTATCGGTTTCTCATCGGAACGCATCTCCGTGCCAGCAATTGACCCCTTTCCAGTAATGACCACCGTCTGCGCAGTTGTATTCGAACAACAAATAAAGGGCCGCCCAATTTGCCTTCACCCGTCATGGTACATTGCCATCGTGCCGTTGTATTGATGATTTTCGTTACCTTTCATGCCCTATACCAGCGTATACTCAAACAAGAACGGCCAAAAAGGACCAGATACGCCAAAAGGTAGATGCTGAATATGTTGGTCGACCGGAACTTTGTCCCGCAGAAATAGCGACAGCGGGAAGCAAGGCCAGGAGGGGGCGCGGAAGCTTACTGGAAAAAGGTCCATTCCGCTCCCCGTGGCCAAAACCATAGCCTCCTCTATACTGACAAAGCCTGGCGGTTCGACGACGAAGCAATGGAGTGCCCCGTCGCAGATTAGGAGCGCGAGGATCCGGTAGCACAGTGCATCAAAGAGACATTTCTCGGGGAACATGGCCGTCAGCGCACAGCTTCTGCAGCGGCGAGGACCGGAAACACGATTGTTCGCTCGAGAGAAGTGTGTTTCGGCGTCTCGCCGCAGCGGGGCGCCTGTCACGCGGCTCTCCTCTCATCGGTTGTCTGCCGCTCCACCTTTTCCATTTCGGCGGCCGCGTCTCGTGGCAATCTGCCAGGATTTGTCAGTGTAACCGCTCATTCACACAGGAAGCGGATCCGCGTTCGCAAAGCGCTTGCGAACGCGGTTGTATAAATATCCAGTACAATTGCACGCGCACACGATGGCATCAAGTGCGCGTGCAATTAATTGTACTGGATCTTTATCAACGAGGTAGAGGGGCTTAGAGTGATAAAACGGAATTTCGGAAGTGGCACCCCCCCCCCCCCCCCGGTGCCGCCATGTTTTACGCAAATGTTACCACTCGTCACGTGACCTCCCAAGAGCCGTGACGTCACAGGTAAGATGGCAGCGCCCAGAGCTGGCGGATGCGAGTTTGTTTGGTGCGCGGTAGCCGCGATGTGCAGCTGCTTTCCGACGACTTCGGGCTTTTTCGTGTTCGCTGACGCAGGTATAATGTGAAAATATTAAGAAATGAGACTTTATACCCTTTTTTCGCAAGATCGAACTGGATCATCTGGATATTAACACCTGTGAGGCAGCATCAGCCGTATCGCCGTACCGGTTCTCGGATTCCCGGTTGTGTTCGAGGATCGATCGAACATTGAGTGCTTTCAGCATAAAATTTTCGCATCCTCTTAGCTTTGTTTGAACGTTGAAATGTCTGAGAATCGACGCGAAAGGTATGCGTTGGATGTAGGGCCTAGGGGAATTTATTTCAGCCCTAGGTAACTGCATAATCACAGCAAGTTTTAGCGAGGAAGCTCCTGCGACCTTTGCGTTTAGCACTTATCAACAATTTTACGATATAACTTCAGGCATAAATTATTAGAATTTTTCTAGCTTTGTTTGAACGTTGAAATGTCTGAGAATCGAAGCGAAAGGTATACGTCGCGTTAGGGCCTAGGGGAAGCTGTTTCAGCCCTGCGTCACCGAATAGCCATAGCAACTTTCAGCGAGGAAGTTCCTGCGATCTTTAACCTTTTTTGCTAATCGACAATTCTACATTCGATCGCTTTTCTTCCTTTTTTTGAGTGCGAAGTGCACACTTATTTCCAGCTACGAGGATTACGTTTCATTGAGTGTGGGGATGAATAAATCGTTGCAGGCACCTGCTTCAAAGCTATTGGACTTGCTATAAGAACAACTGTTTTGGTGTATACATAGATTAACTGCACCTTTTTTTCTTTCGTAGGATTTATTGCAGCAATACTTTTTTTCATCAAGAGTGTATTGCATTAGTAGGTCAATTATTTACTTGTTCTAATTACCTGCATAAGATTATTCACATTTGTGTTCATCCCTTGCCTGAAGAGCAGTCGTTGAAAAATGTTGACCATTCCGCTCGGTCTCTTCAATAGACTTTTTGGAAAGTGTGGGCTGCCTATACTTCGTATCATTGTAACTTGGAAAAAGGCAACCGCCACAGCCCCCTCGAGCCAATCAGAGAGACGGAGCGAAGGTGTGTGACAAATCTGTGCAGACGAGCACTCTGATATGTCGTCATGTGCCTCTCTCCAATGTGCCTATTGACTCGCCGAGACTGTAGCCTTTGCCGTTTGCCAAATTGTGATGAAACGAATTACAGTAGCTACTACTCTAATTACCCCAGGCTTTCATACTTTGGGCACTTGTTCCGCAAGAATGTTATGTCCGCCATCACTGTAAACTCGGCTCAGCGCCTATTGGACTGGAATGCTGCATTAGCGTTCGACGTGAACTGGGGCCCAGTCGTGTGCTTTACGCCGAAAAAAAAAATGGTAATAGTTGTTTTGCTTGATGGGGTTCTG